ATCAGCGAAGTGAATTGCGAGGCTCTCATGTTCGCGGATGACATAAAAATATGGAGTGAAGTCAAGTGTGATGATGACGCAGAGAAGTTGCAGTCGAACATCAACAAACTGTGTGCTTGGTCGAACAGATGGCTTTTGAAGTTTAACGTGTCCAAATGCGTGGTTTTGCACCTGAACACCGGCCGCAATGCCTCTCCCAAACACCAGTACTATATTGACGGGACGAGGTTAGAAACTGTGGAAAGACACAGAGATCTGGGTGTATGGACGACCACAAATCTATCGCCATCAGAACACTGCAGAAAGATGGTCCAGAAGGCAACTAGTACTCTACACTGGATCAGACGTGCATTTAAAATATTTCCTCCCGAACTCTTCGAAAGACTCTTTTGTGTCTTTGTAAGACCTCATCTAGAGTATGGAATGCCATCAGCTTCACCATGGATGAAGAAGGATATCAACTTACTCGAACAGGTGCAACGCAGAGCGACAAAGATGGTCGACGGTCTAAAGCATTTGTCTTATCAGGAGAGGCTAAATTTGCTTGGCCTATTCCCTCTCTCTTATAGACAAATAAACTGCAGTCTACTCTGGACGTTCCGGATTGTTCGCGGCCAGGGTTGCTCATTAAGAGCAGAGGACTTCTTTGAGTTCGCCCGTACAAACCAACTACGCGGCCATGCATTCAAAGTCGGGAATGAGCGAACACGTTTAGACCGACGAAAATTTTCTTTCAGCCAGCGGGTTGTCAGGCCGTGGAACTCGCTTCCAAGCGAGATGGTGACGGCTGATACAGTTTGTGTGTTTAAAAGAAAACTTGCTCGTCTAGTTTTCGACAGAAATCGGCTTGTACAGCATGACAATGCTCAGTCAGTTTTGTAAAATCTGTCATATACAATCTTCCGCACCAATTTACAGTGACCCCATGCACTACCTTATGATTACGATTGAACTGTGACCCAATCACATTTTAAATGCCTGCAATTTTATTTTATTTTTGAGTATGAATCTGCGAAAGCACTGTACATAAATAGGGTCATCAAGGGCTCTGCCTTTAACCCTTCAATATACATACATACATACAATGTACCGTAACGATGGCGTTGGTTGTTTCTGATCATTATGACCCGTCTCACATGGGACAATTTCCTTAGACAACGGCGACAGCTGTTCTTCAATGCTTCTCTGTGGGCCAGCCCAAACTTCATGGGAAGAATTGGTGACTAATAATATCCGTTACAGTGCTTCCCCTCCATTTATTGACTGTCGTCCTTTCATGGGCGTCAATTTTTCCTCCTGAACCCTCTAAACTGTAAGAACCTTCACCATTTTTATTTTTTGTCAGTGGTTTTTTCACTGACGGCCCGATCTGTGTTTGACGTTCCCCCGTCAATACCTGTAAACTGGCATTATATGCAATTATTATCACTATCGCTATTACATACGGTCTTCGATCCCTATAGATTAGAAGATTCCAAATGGTTTACATTTCCTATTCAAGGTCACACATCAGCAATATATTTTTAAAATTTATTTACTGACAGACCAAAACGAACCCGAAGCACTATACATAACGAAGGTATTGTAAGGATTCCCAAATTCCGGAATCCCAACGACCTAATTACTATTCCAAATGATACGTGACTGTCTATTATGTCCTCCTAAGTTCTTTTTGAAAAATAGAAATCTAATCTTTTAATTAGCAATACACATTTGTTTTTGCTGGCCAATTCTTTGAATTAATACTTGGTTCCATATGGCTTTGTTGATGCCAGCCACTTGAATAATACCGGAAAATAACCCTTAAACAATATTAAATTTAAGCTAACCAGCATCATTAATAACCATTGCACAAAACGAGATATGCTTTCTTCCACCCCCCCCTTTCTTATTCCCATCAACTAACTCACCTGACTAAGCAGTCAACTAATATTTCTATCAAGAACATAATGATACATGATTTAATATTATTTTGATATCTTTGATTGTGAC